CCCTGCTTGCGCGTGTCGAGTGTCGACCATAGTTTGTCCACCCTGGCGTCGGTTACGCTTGCGCTTTGTGTGTCCATTGTCGTCCTGCTATCTTCGGTCTATCATGGCTGAGGTCGCGACACGCGAGGGAGGGCGGCTATCGACACCGGGACGAGGCAGATTACGGGTAGAATGACTGGCGGGTAGGATACAAGCTTGTAGGACTCGAACGTGGGGTATGAGGTCAGTCTCAAAGCTTGGAGAGGCTCGCTAAAAGAGGTTAGGCTGACAGACCGCGACGCCGAGGGAAGCCACGACAACCCCCGGCTTTAGCTCACACATGATTGGATCTGCATCCATACACAACTACCGCTTCTGTCCCGTTCCATCACTATCGTGCAAACTGCTCTTATCTCATGTATTGTTAGACGAGTCCTGTAAAAGTCAAAACTCCGCTGTGCTCGACCAGTGCTGTTATTCTGGTCTATTGTTGCCTCGTAACGTCGTACTAACCTTCGGCTTGACAAAAACACCAGCCGGGAGGACAGTTCCTCACAACCTCCTGTAACACATACTAAACAAATCAAAGAGCAAGGCGTACACCGTGACTCCCACAAATCCTTATATGATTATTTAGCACACACACGCAAAGACTTGGCAAAGCAGATATCCAACATGTCATCCAGCTACTGGGAGTCTACCCAGCGGAAGTTCTGGACGTTTACGAAGCAAGACCTAGCGCTAGAGCGAAAGCGAATGGAAGATGCAGAAAGAAATCTCGTTAACTTGTATCCCCTTCCGGACCGGAGACATCTGAGTATCTACTTCTCTCACCGTAAGTCTTTGTGCGGCGCGTCTGTAACCAGTGCTGATGTGTTACAGAACTGTCGAAGATGGCAAGGCCCCTAGGTGTCCGGCAGCAGGCCTTGGCTACTGCACAGGTCTATGTTCGGCGTTTCTACACCAAAGTTGAGATACGGCGGACGAACCCGGCGCTTGTGCTGGCAACAGCCTTGTACCTGGCCTGCAAGATGGAGGAATGCCCACAGCACATCAGGATGGTGCTGGCAGAAGCGCGGCACTGCTGGGGTAACATGATGACCAAACGCATACCGAAACAATTTCTGACAGTGTTACAGATACTTCGTTCAACGATGTATCTAAAATTGGCGAGTGCGAGTTCTCGCTGATATCAGAGATGAACTCGCAGTTGATACTCCATCACCCATACCGCAGCCTCGCTGAACTGCAAACCCAATTCCAACTAACGCAGGAAGAGAATGCGCTTGCATGGTCAATCATCAACGACCACTTTCTCACAGACCTGCCTCTGCTGCACGCACCGCACGTGATTGCCATTACAGCAATGTTCCTAGCAGTCGTGTTGAAACCGATCGGCTCGCAGGTCAATGCAGTGGGGATGAACAACGCACTTCAAACGCTGGGCAACGCCCGAGGCGGGCAAGGAATGCAGGCGCGGATCCAAAAGTTAGTCGACTGGCTTGCTGAGAGCAATGTGGATATCGAAGCTGTTGTCGAATGCACCCAAGAGCTGATATCGCTGTACGAAGTGTGGGAATCATACACGGACAAGACGTGCAAAGATCAGATTGCAAAGTTTGTCAAGGCTAGAGGGCTTGACAAGTAGAGTAGGGGTTAATGGCTGTGCTGGGTGGGTTTCTAGAAGTCGAGTGTTTAGGACATGTGCGGATTATGCCTTGGATGGAAACATGGCGAGTGGATGGATGGATTGGGGGAGGTTTGATGTTCCGCAGGCCATAGCATGGAGAGTAACATAGATAGTGTGCACGAATCGCGCGACACGCAACATGGAACATTGATAGATGGGATAGTTTGTGGTGGCTTTGTGTATACAGCATGGCGTCAACGGCCGGCTTTGCTGATTCATCTCTCCATGAGCAAAGCGTGTGCATGCGCCACCAGCGGGCAGCAAAAAGGGGGCCCTTTCGCACAACTACTGCCCCGTGCGACGGCCAGGAGCAGGCCCTGTGATACTTTGATTCAACGAGGTGGTCAGCACCTAAAGTAACTAACTAGCGATGGAGCATTAGCTAAGCAGGCGCATGTAAGTACAGCAACAGGGTTCAGGCTGCTGGCGGCGTTTGCAGGTATATTGATCCAGGCCGGGTCGAGTTGCACTTGTCGAGCAGGGCGGGCAGGTCAGCAAATGAGCGTGTTTCGAGAGTGTAGGGCAGCGTTCATGCGTGTGGCTTGGCCTGTCACAGGCATGTTTTGCGCAGAGGGGACGCCAGACCAGGCTCCGCTGTGATGATCATGTTGCAGCGGGCGCAGTGGTGGGAGGGTTGTGGCGAGACTGCTCATGCGAAGATGGAGTGAGTGACGGAATGCGCGAAAAGGACGAGTATGGTGAGTGCGGGCGAGGAGCGCCGATCGCTGTGCAGGCAGGTAGGCATAGGCTGCGCGCTCGGGCCGGACAGAACCAGTGAGCGCTATTTTGGTCTCGCTTTTTGCGCGCTGTGATTGGGCGAGGGGGGCAGACAGGCTACGAGTCCAACGTCACTCTCGTCCTGCCAGTGTTCCGAACAAGCCCGGGCCCCCCGTCCCGAGTATGTAAGTGTCTCGAATCTCGAGCGAGCGGGCGGGCGGGCGAGGGTGCAACGGCGTGGGTTTGATGGCTGTGAGCGGCTGGGGGTAGTGGCAGCAGCAGCACCAGTGTTCGCGTGCCCATAACCAAACAGCGTGAGGTGAGCGCGGGCATTCTCGACTCCCATAGTACGGCCAGCCAGCTGTGTGCAAAGCAGAAGCGATGTGCGCCCGCAGGGACTGTGCCTTGGCCACGGATCCCTGGAGCGCCCCCCTCAACCGCCATGCCAGTGCGTTAGCGTTGCACGCGCCCTGAAGTCGACGACGGAGAAGGGCTGCGGGATGCTTTTGCCGACCAACGCATCGTCGGGCTGGCAGCGTGCTAGGCTGCTAGCTGCTGGCGACATGCATTCCCCTGGCGACGATGTGCAAGTCGACCCTCTCGAAGAGGAAAATAGCGGTCAGGGCGCGGGCAGCGTTGGTCACTTGCTCAGCCTCGTTGGCGTCCTAGCGCAGTGTGTCGCATAAGTCTTGTTTGATAATGCGCCGCTTGGGGCTTGTTCTCCTGCGCAGTCGGTGGGCGCGGCCACCGGGGGGAACCTGTGCACGGCGCGGCGCTGCGCTGCGCTGCGCTGCTGTGCTGATGGTGCAACCTGGAGCCGGCGGCTCTCGAGGCGATCGCGATACTGGGCCTGCTGGGATCATGGCAGATGGGCGATGCTGCAACGGTGGAGGATGCTGGCCTGCTGGCTGCTCGCTGTCCACTCGTTGCCCGCCGCCCTCGACCCAGCCAGCGCCGTGTCCTGGGCCCCGGGCGGCGGCGCTTCCACTTCACCACGCTGCCATGACCTCGCCTTTGCAGCCCCAGAGCGGTCGCCCGGCCCATAGCGCTCGTTGGCCATGTCGGGCTAGGCCGCTTCAGGCACAGGGGGTGCGTGGTGGCAAATGTCGCGCCCAATCAACGGCGTGGGCCCATAAAAGCTCGCCGCACGGCCCCCCGCCCATCTCGTCTGACCCAGCCCGTTCTTCTCCAGCCCTTTCGCTCTTCTTGCCTCCTCGCACTCTCGCACCTCCGCTTCTCTCTCACACACACATACATACATACATCTTCTCAGCCTCGCATCGCAGCTCCCCCATAGTTAATACCTGCTCACTCCCACCTCGACCGACTTTCTCACCTGCCTACTCCAACCCACCCCCATTACCCGAGCCAAGCCTCCTTTGTCTCACTTTGTTGTGGTCGAGCTCCCTGGACCGCACATTACAGCCCCTCACCCAACAACAGACCGACCCATCCATCGCCCATCCCCCCCTCTGTCATCACCATGTCGCAGTTCTTCAACTACGGTGCGCAGCAGCACCACCCCCAGCACCTCAACGCCCACTCGCACAACCACCACAGCGGCCGCTCACGAAGGGCCCCCCGCATCTCGGCCCAGCAGCACAACAAGCAGTTCCGCCAAGTCCGCACCCCCAAGGAGTTCAACGTCGAGCCGCCCACGCTCATCGCATACAAGCGCGACTTCGAGGCCGCAAGGTCGTTTGACATCGAGGACGACGAGATGTTCTGCCCCTTCCACCTGCTTACCGAGGATGATGTAAGTCGCTTACCTCACGACATTTGCCACCCATCCCCTGTCGTCGAATCCGCCCCAACAAGGCGCTGACACTCGATGAACAGCTGCAGTCCATCCACTCGTCGGGCTCAGATCGCTCTTCGCTTTCCAGCGGATCGCCTGAGCAGTCTCCTCTGCAGCACCAGCTGCAGCCCACCCCTTCGTTTGTCCTGTCCTCGGCCCCGAATCCCTACACTCCCGTCGGCTTCCAGCAAAACAACTCGCAAACCAAGCTACACCAGCCACTAGCCCAGCGCACCCGCAATGCCATCCCCATTGTCGACCCGTCCACACGCACTGTTGCCAGCCCCCCACCAAGCGTCTCTCCCAACCGACAGATGCAGCAACAGTTCATGTCGCGACGCTGGTAGAGTAGAGTCTTGCTGGCACGAGACCAATTCATCTGTTCGGTCAGCATTGCAACTCCTCCTTTGTTGCCGGGCTAGTGGCTACCTGGATCCTTAACATCTCGCTCTCTTCTCGATATCCCCGGAGCCTCATCCACTTTACACGATCGATTCTCCCTGTATAAACAACGATATCTTCTTCGACATCTTGGGCTTAACCACTGAACCGGCCACGGCGTTGCAATTATAGTACACACATGATTTCCGGATAGAGAGTATTGGTCTCTTGCTTTCAAGCGCTAACGCATTCACGGCGGTCTGCACATCTTTGGTGTTTTTCTATTTCTGGGTCGCATTTCTCGGTTATTCTTATACCTTTCAAAAACTTTGAAAACCTTTGGTTACAGGCGTAGGTGTTCTATAGCGTTGCTGTCGGACACTGTTGTCGCCCGGCTGCCATTATCATGGCGCCCTACAAAGGGGTAGATTTCCTATGTACGGTTGGTCTCTGGGGTTTTCAAGCGGTGTCGGTATATACCATTGTTGGCGCGATCTTGCGAAGCGGCGGTGTCAAAGCGTGTTGTGGGTCATCGGTTTCTTGGGTGCATTAACATCTGTACGACGCTGGGATGATTCTACGCAGTCATTGGCGCAGGGTCGTTTTCGTTGGTCTCTTCTCCTCTTTTTTCTTTTATTTCCATTGTATGAGGATTTATACGACGCCCTCGACTGGGCGGTTTCGATCTCTTCTTCGATCTTTCTAGTATCATTTCTTCCTTGGGAGCTCGATTCTCCTCATACATTACACGCCTCGTTTTCGAGGGCAGTGAATCCTAGGAATGGAAACGCAACTTTGTTAACACATCAAAAACAAAAAAGTCTCAATTCGTGCTGCATCGTGATGAAGTCGAGCGATTGAATGGCTACTACGTGGCTCACTGAGGTGGGCGGACAACGACGTAGCTCAGACCCGCCTACTACTATGGATAGAGCGACTGCTGCGCCCCTCATTCAACTCAGCCATGCACATTGGCGCCCCCCACCATCACCAGAAGCTCATCCATGCTGCGGCTACCCCGTGGAGATGGACCGCATGCGCCACGTTCAACGCATCCAGGCACAAGGGGGGAAGCTCAGCCGACCGTGGTTCTTCTGCCACATTCACGAGCGGGGTGAGGGATCACCTGTGCAGCATCTGCAGCTACAGAAGCACCAACGGAGGCTTCACATCCATGCCTCCGTTCGTGCTCTCACAAGCACAAAAGCAAAACAACATTCTGACTAATAAGCGTCCTGCTGTTGGGGTTACTGTCCGCCGGGCGAATCGTCGTAATGGTGATTGCCGGCCGTGCAGCTATGATGTTATGACGTCTTCTCGAATGCTAGCTTTCCACTAACCGAGGAACCTATGTTTCCTCGAGCAACCATCCTTTTTTCTTGAGCATACCAGTTTCCAAGTTTGCAGCCCTCATCTGTACTCTTTTCTTTTTGATATAAAACTCATCCATTCTTCTTTCCATTCAAGCCCTCCATTAAACTCAAGGAATTGAATCTTGACGCGTCAAGCTAGATCATCAAAATCCCTCAACAAACGACCATTACTCCTCCGTCTCCGCTCTCAACAACCAAACTAGCCATGTCTGCTATCCGTGCCTTTGCGACCCGTCGCACTCCATTTGTCTTTGTCCAGCGCGCAGCTTTCTCGCAGTCAACAGTCCGCTCCGCGGGCAAGGAGTCTGCCCTCCGTACGTCCACACCATCTTCGTCAGTCCGTTGTCAACAAAGCAGAGCACCTGCCGTCCAATGGCAATTAGAATAGCGAGACATAGCTAACGACCTTCCGATAGACAGCGAAAACCGTGCTGAAGAGATTGAGAAGAAGAAGCAGGAGCAACTGAAGAACCAAAAGGAGGGCAAGGCAAACTGGGAGGAGCAACTTGCTAGTGACAGCGAGAGCGCCGTATGTTTACCCGGACATTAAGTCATACGTTGGAAGACAACGATGTGGTGATATCAGAGCACTGGCTGACAAAATACACAGATCAAAGCAGACCGATCTGAGACGGGCAAGGACACCCAACAACAGATCAAGGAGCTCCAAGAAGAGGCTAAGAAGGTCAAGCCCGGCCACTAGTGGAAGAATTGAATAGAGTATGAGCCATTGAGAATATTGAGGATATGACGCCTACGTGGAGGCCTTGGGCAGAGGCCAAATAGGACCCAGTAGCACAGCCTGAGATGTGAGCTCTGGGTGGAAAAACAGCGACACAAAATAATGGGATATCTTGTAATGTTTCAATGACATGATTTGCATTTACCTTTCTCTCTGTATGCCATTGTCACATGTTGCTGAAGCTAGCTACCTTTTCCCAAGTCCACCAGTACCTGATGTCAGACGATGACATGTGACATGGCTCTACGTTCCAACAGCAACTCACATACTTTACCAAAGAATCGCTAAGAATTTCAATTTCCACATATATATATTCTACCAAACAACCATTGCGTATCTAAACACAAAACGAAAAAGAAAAAAAAGAACCACATATATACATGGAACAAACGTTTATTCCCCCTCCTCCCTCAACCCATTCAACTCCCTAACCCTTCTCTTCTCCATCTCCACATCCTCAAACAAAAACTCGCCCTCCTTCCTAACCCACCTCTCAAACCCGCCCATACTCCTCATCCTCTCCCTCGCACTCAACCCATCATCGTTAGTCTTGGCCTCCAAATCCGCGCCATGCCGTACGAGTACCTCAAACGCATTGACCCAGCACCTCTCAATCGCCCTGTGCACAGGCGTCCAGCCGTTTGGTTCCGCGTGATTTACGTTGGCGCCGTGGTCGAGGAGTAAGAGAGCGATGTGGGGGTTTGAGGCGTAGGATAAGGGTGTTTTGCCGTATTTGTCGGTGCAGTTTGGGGAGGCGGATTTGGAGAGGAGGAGGGAGGTGGCGGGGAGGTTGTGGTGGAGGGAGGCGAGGTGGAGTGGGGTGCGGAGGTGGGAGTCGCGGGGGGTGATGTCGATGGAGGGGTGGTTGAGCAGGATTAAGGCTGGGTCGCCATAGTGGGAGTCGCGGCGGCCCATGTTGTGTGGGCGTTGGAGGGCAATGTGGAGGGGGGTCGCGCCGGCTAGGGGGTTGGCGTCGTTGATGTGGGCGCCGTGGGAGAGGAGGGTGGGGACGATGGTAGGGGAGGGTGCATTGCATGCGACTGCTAGGGGACTCTGGCCTTCGATATTGAGGGTGTTGATTTCGTTGATTGAGTCTGGGTCTGCAAGGATTCGGTCTGTGACGCGGTGCATGCTGTAGTAGGCTGCATCATGCAGTGTTGTGTCCTTTCCATTGTGTGAACAGTGGCCGGTGGGTGCTGCGCCGTGGTCGAGCAGGCACAGTGCTGCTTCTTCGTGGAATCTTCCCGTTGCTATCATCAGAGGCGTATGTCCCTCGTTGTCTTTGGCTTCGATATCCAATTTGCCTTTTCCCGCAACGTCCAGATTGAGGAGGTACTCGAGTACTGCTGTACGACTTTTGGCAGCAGCGAAATGCGGTGCTGAACGGCCATCAACGGCGAAATGCAGTGCTGAACGGCCATTGATGGTGATAGCAAATGCATCAGCACCTCGCGAGACCAGAAATTCAAGTACCCCTGGCTCCGATCTACAAGCCATGAGAAAAGGTGTCACGCCGTGTTTGTTCTTGGCGTTGATATCAGCACCTTTCTGCAGGAGCTTGTCTATCAGCTCAGGCTCATTGTATGCAGCATGCATGAGCGTACAACCGTCTTCGGAGCGGTCCTCGTTGACGTCCGATATTGAGTCTAGCATTCGGAATGCTAGTTCCTTGGCCAATCCATTTTCCCAACGTTCAAATCTACGCAGTACGTTGACGAAAATAGTAGAGCTTATATCTTCGCCTTCCATGAGCCTACACTTTCCTGTCGCAAGTAACATATCAACGATCGAAGTGTCCTTTTTCGGATCACCAGACAGCTGAAGTACAGCCTGATGTAGCGGCGTGATCATTTCGTTCTCAGCGTCCTTTGAGGGCAAAGCCGGATCAGCACCGGAATCAAGAAGGATACGCAAAAGGTCTTTGTTGTTACAGCCTACTGCGACGTGGAGTGGCGTATCCCCGTTGAAGACAGTCGTATTTGGATCAACACCCAGTCTGAGCAGCTCAGCTACTATACCGAGTTCTCCATTATATAGTGCAAACTGCAACAGTTTGAATATTGCCATTGGTTTAACGAGCTCTCCGCCTTGGTCGAGCACCCATTCTATCCAGTCCCATTTCCCCGCCGGGGTATCATGGGTGTTGATATGCGGGAACATTAGTGAGACAGTTGCTATCAGAGGTTTCATTCCAGCAGCGCAGTTTACAACAGCGATTTGGAGTGCTACACTGTCCTTTGGGTAGTCTGGCCCACCGATCGCCTCGAGCAATGTCTTTGCAGTGTTGAGACGGCCTTTCTTCAGAGTGGCATCGATTAGAGTCACCCCATCATTCGAGGTAACTGAAAGATCCGCTCCGTGTTTTATCAGTGTCTTGAGTACTTTGTCATATCCTAAGACTGCTGCCCATACGGCCGGGGTGGACTTTCTCGGTTCGGTGCTCAACGCGTTGACGTCTGCACCCTTTTCAATCAACAACTCTACCATCTCCAAATGATTCGAGTTGCTGGCAATTGATAGAGCGGCTAGTGGTGTTAGACAGGTCCAGCAGTAGTTCAGAACAGTTTCTAGACCTACTCAAGTCCTCTTCATCTCGATCTTCAAGTCTGCTGCCCTCTTCTATCAAGTATCTCGCAGTCTCTACATGCCCACAGCTCGCAGCCCACATCAACGCAGTGCCGTCGTTCCCACTGCGTGCATGGAGATCTGCACCCTTTGCAAGGAGTAGTTTGACAACCGTCGTGTGTCCGTTCTCTGCGGCAAGAACAAGAGCAGTTTTTCCCCTTTTGCATCTCTGGTCAACATCTAGTCCCTTGTCGATAAGGAAATCAACAGCATGAACCATGCCCTCAACAGCCGCCCAATGTAAGGCGGTCATGTTTGCAGGCCCTGTAATAACCTGTACATCAGCGCCATAGTCAATGAGCAGCTGAATGAGGCGAGGCGCAAGTTCTGATGCCTGAACTGCGTGGAATATTGGAAGTATGTTACGGACTGGGCTGTCCACATCGCTACCCCTTTCCAGCAGGAGCTGTACAATGTCAGCGTGGCGTCTTTGAATGGCAATAACTAGTGGTGTGATTGCATCGTCTGTTTGGCGTTCAATGTCCACACCAGCGTCTAGCATAGCCTTCACTGTCTCGATATCCCCGTGTGCAATAGCAGAGTAGAATCTGTCGTAGTCGAGGAATAATTGGCGCAACGATTCAGGCGTGGAGGAACGTCCTTCTGATTCAGCTTCCGCATCCATATTAGGCGGTGCTGAAGATTGATGTTCTAATTGAGGCAATTCAATTTCGTGTTGGTCATGCTCCATACTGGCTGTACGAGAGAAAGTCAGGATGTAACGCGTTGGCGTCGCATCGAAAGGAAGTTATTACCGCCGACATATTCGCTAGGCAGCAACGTCGCCAACGACAGGCAGCATTAGAGTACCAGCGAGATGCACTCAGCTGGATGTTATTAGTTGGTCACTATTGCTGGGCGTAAGCGCTGCTCACTTCAGCTGAAAAGCTGCCCCTCATGCTCGCGGCCCCTCCTTCACTGCATCATCTGCACAGCAAGTGGGGCAGTTGTGGCGCAATCAACCTAACGGTGCGTTGGGCAGCAAAGCCTCACCAGATGTGGGTATTATGAAACTAGCATTACTTGTGTGAAATCCATTCACACCGTGTTTAGCAACCTGCGCGCCAGTTTTTTGTTCTTTTTGGAATCACAAGGTGGGTCGTCGTGACTTGTGGCGTCATACAAGCACCGCCTTATCCGTGTGACGGCGTGGCGCATAAGTGGTCAGCACTTTCCAACTGTCACTCGACTTATCTACAAGTTCTTCTTCCTCCTACACCTACCTTTTCCCTTTGTCATTCTAGCAAAAATGGGTGTCTCATCCAAATACTTGCTGCTCGTCGCCCTTGCGATCCTGGTCCTGCTGCCATCCAGCGTCGATGCCTTTGGCGCCGGCAATATCGCTTCCATTTCCAAAATTGAGGGGAAAAACTGGCGCCATGGAGATATTGAGGATATGCTTGCGACCGTCGCTTGCTTGAAGGGACACAAGTGGAAGAGTCAAATGATCAAGGTCGGAGCAAGCCCGCATGTCACACCCACTGCAAATACTGACATTAGGCGCAGCGTGTGTACTTTGGTAACTGGTTACGCGATTACTCACAGGTAAGTTGGCAAGGTCACGAAAATAAAACGGATGTGCTAACTCCTTCAGGCTGTTGATGTTGGTACATTGGCCAAAGTCCAGGTGCGCCGGAAAAGTATAATCGTAATACATGACAGCATGTTGACGATAATTAGGGAGAAACTATCCGTGTTCTGGTTTGGGTTCTGTCTTTCATGTCATTCGGCTATGCGACTGGAGAATTTGAGGTCACAGCCGAGAGATTAGGCGTCTACAGACCCGAAGAACACATCGGTAAGCGAAGCCAGCCCAGTCACAAGTATACATGCTAACAACGAGACAGACAATCCCGTAAGCCTATACAAGACACAAACAAGTTCTTACTGATTCTAACATTGTCACAGAAAGACTATGCTGATAATGAGGATGCTCGCAAATATGATCCACGTCTTCGTGGCCCGGTATCAGAAATTGAGCTTGCCGTTGATCCTGAGACGGGAATGAAAAATTACATTGCTAATGAGCGGGGTAACTGGGCGACATCTTCGGGATATGTAAAATATTCATTTGCGCGGGCCATCCACTTTGGTCGTTTATACACCCACGGTCCTGAAGGCCAGAGAGGACGAGACGAGGACCTAGCAGAAGCGCTTCGTTGTCTTGGCCAAGGACTACACTGCCTCGAAGATTACGGCGCTCACACAAACTACACGGAGCTGGTATTGCGGGAACTTGGATACACCAACGTATTCCCTCATACTGGCGTACAGACTGCCATCAATCTCAACGGAAAGCACACCTACCCGCTTGTCACAGGCACTTTTGGCGGTGTTGATTTCTTCCACTCTGTTCTAGGAGAAGCAAACGATCATATCACCCAGACCGAGATCGATGAGGTCAACACTGCCCTTGTGGATGCAGTTGCGTCCAATGGCAAGAGATCCGGTGGACCTGGAGGATCTGACCCATGTGGTGGCTTGATTGATGCTCTGAACATGGTCCCAGGTACTGGCGACCTTGTCAACCAGGCACGGAGTCTTCAGGCCTCATCAGATGCACAAGCTGCAGAGAATTCCCGCTCCGGGTTTGGCGACTACAGCTCCTCCAGAGCCGGACCCGATCAGTTTGATGCCCCGCCCGGCTCTATTGGTGGACCGCCAGGACCAGATATTCCAGGAACGAACACGGATCCTGCGACTATCATTCCCAAGATCTACCCTATCCTGGTCTTTAGGGATAACGTTGTTCGTAGCATCTCGAACATCATCTCCAAGATCCCTGGACTCGAGAAATTGATCGAGACCATCACCGAGCGCGTCACTATCTTCGTGCTGTCGCTGCTTGCACCTTTTATCCTCCCGATCATCAAGACGGCATCGGGCCAGCTGAAGAGCGGCTCCTCAGCTGTCATTGACTCGGCAGCCAAGCACCAGTTTGAAGTCTGGACGGATCCTACCTCGACTAACCCCACGCACAGCATGCTATCCAAGGACCATTTCTCCAACATTCTCAACCCACCTGCCGGTCAGGTAGCCGTAGCAATCCTGCAATACGTCGCGCCCCGCGTCATCTATGCATGGGACCACCCAGACGTTCCCGTCGACCAAGTGTTGGACGACGTCGTCCGCGTGTTCCACCACCCTGCTCTCCGGGATCCCTACTGTGAAGTCCACAACAATATGTTCGAGGTAGTCAAAAACTGGGCGCACAACTACCACGGAAAGGATCTCAACGACGTTCTCTCTTCGGAGTCGGTAAAAGCAGGTCACAACCATAGTGGTAGTCACGACCACTCCCACGGCCACTCCCACGGCGCAGCCGGTGTAGCCAGCTTCCAAGGCCACAGCAGCGGCGGTCACTCGAGTAAACCCTCTGGCAACTCCAACAACCTCTTCGGCTCTCTAGGCGGCATGGTCCCCGGTCCCCTTGGTGGCATGCTCAGCAGCCTAGGTGGCAGCAGTACTGGCCAGTCCCGCGAATTCGGCGACGAAGGCCCTGCCTCTCCCACCGGATTCGCATACCGTCCCCCTCCCTCGCCTCAACCTTCTACCCAATGGGCCAACTTCCACCCTTACCAGTCTTCCTACGCAGGTGAAGCATACCAGCCTCCCGCGGAATACAGCAACGCGGCCCCAGCAGGCGGCTACGGATGGTCCCACGGCCAGTACTCAGGCGGTCAGGGCCAGGAACCGAGTTATGCGGTACCGACAAGTTATCAGCAGGGCTATGAGAACTATGGGGCTGCACCGGGTGGATATCAGGGTCAGCCGCCGCCACAGCAGGGTAACTATGGTGGGTATGGCCAGGGCGGGGTGTATAATTCGTATGATCAGGGTCAGCCTGGGGGTAGTGGCAGGCAGTGGGGTGGTGGTGGTGGTGGCGGCAATTCGGCTTGGTAGGTAGACGTCTTTGTATCGATACCCTGAGATAAACTTTCATTTGGGTAGAAGTCGAGTTTTACTCACCTCACCCATATATATATCACGAGTAATGATGAATATACATGTTTGGCAATTAGAGCAGAGATTTCCTTTATTTCATTTCGTTCGTTCGTTCGTTTTCGTGTCTCCCATTCCACCCATTCCGAACCCGTTCATCTTTGTTAAATACATGCATTGAAGGAATCGCTTTCCAGACACCAAAAGTATGTATGTTTTTTTTTCTTGCCCAAGCCAGAATTATATATATATGTGACTACGACGGGGTCCCCCGGGCAATCATACTAGTCGCATCGTATGGATTTTTACTTTTTGTGGGATCCAAACTGGAAAGCGGGCGGCGGAGAAGGCGTATAATTTGGCCTGGGAAGGGGAAGAGGGGGTATTGATACAAAAAAAAAGCTGTACAAGTGGAATTCATGCGAAGCCACTCGCTAGGCTACACAAGAGTCTCTTTCCATTTACTCGTTGATCTTAGCCAGCAGCCTGCAAAAAAAAGTCACACGTTAGCTCTGTATTTTCCTCATATTCCCTTGGAATATGCTCCCCCAACCACATCCAACAAGGGCGCAAAGAAAAACTTACTCATGGTCCCTGAACAAGCTCAATTCCTCCTCGCCAACCTTGATTGGGCTACCGCCGAATTGCGGGATCAAAACCTTGTCGCCGGGCTGCACGCTGGGTGTGACGCGCTTTCCGTCCTTGTCGAAGGCGCCGGGGCCGACGGCAATGACTTTTGCTTCGTTGAGGTCCTTGACGGCCGTCTCGGGGAGGAAGATGCCAGTTGCAGTCTTGGCTTCGGGCTTGATGCGCTGCACAAGGATGCGGTCGAGGAGGGGTGCAATGCTGCGGATAGACTTGATGGTGGACTGTTATAGCAAGACATTGTTAGCAAAAAAAAAGATTCTTGAGGTGGAGGTGGGTGGTGCGGGCAGGTGGTATAGGCGTCCGGGACTTACCATTTTGGCGGGTTGGAAGAAAGGTAGGTGGGAATTGGGTATTATGGGAAGCTTGAAACGGCGGGTTTTGTAGCGGGGGGGAGAAGGAGAGATTGAGGTCCGTTTGGGGGGATGTTTGTAGAGAGAGAGACTGGAGGATGTTGTGCTTTTGCCTTTCCAGAAAATTCCATGTCCGTGCACCGTAGTACCTCGGAATCACCTGCGGAAACACATCCATCTCGCGCATTACCAGAATTAGTAATTATTTCTTGTGCCTTTACGCGCGCTACATTATTTTGCTTGTCTGCCGGCTGTCGCGACGAACGTGGGTACTTGGTGCCTTTATGTGGAGAAACAATGTCCTCGGATTGAG